AAATAAAAAAAAAAAGTCATTTTTGTAAACACCATTTTTTTGGGGTAAGTGGGGTGCATAACTAGAAGTTGCCCTTATCTAAAAAAAAAAAAAAAAAAAAATGCATTATGTGAAATTATAGTGTAAATCAGTAAAAAAAAAAAAAAGCCAATGAGACAAGACATACTTAGAATAATTAATAAGCATCTATGAACATAAAATATTGTAAAAAAGGTGTTTGTTTAAAATATTAACTATATTTCTCTATTATCCACGAGTAAAATATAGTGGCTTAAAAATGTTTTCACTCTCAAAATACTATAAGAAATTGTGAAGAAGACAAACCAGTTTATGATTTTGGCACGTATAGAGAAAATTATAATATCCTGGTGTGTGTGTGTGTTTTTTATATATAATTTTAATACCTATGCTCGAATGGTGTGGAAAAACTCAGTGATTGGAACAAACTGATATCGCGGGAAGGGGGGGATTAAGTAAAAAGACTAAAGACATCCATGTGAAAATAATCAGTCAGCATCGTGATGCCTAGTCAAAAGAAAAAAAAAAAAAAAACACTGAGAGTGTATTGAGCACTTTTACATTTTTACTTAAAAATAGAGCAAAATCTAAAAAACCTACCTAGTGAGCCAGAACTTACATACCAAGGTTTCACCTAACTTATCTTCAGAGTACAACTGGCTCCAGTAGTACTAGTAACCTGAAGACCCACACACAACTTATCTTAGCCGATCAAGGCGAATATAATGATTTTAATTTACAACAAATAGAAATTTTTAAATTTAAAAACTAATGATATTTTTACCCTTGATGGTATTTATATAGAAGACAAAACATTTATAAATTGGAAAGTAGAGTTTGGTCTCACAGGAGCATAACCATCAAGACTAAAGTAAGTGTGTATACTTTGGGCGAATGACTCGGGCATGATCTCCAAAGAACCACTAACTGATATGCAGTCTTGGAACTGGTGTGTGAGCGCAGGTTGTGTAAGATGTGGCAATCTTTTTCTCTCCTATATTATAATTAACTGTGGGTTAAGCAACCTTACCAACTCACCATAGTGAGTACAGCTACACCCTTGAAGACATGGTCAATCAGGGAGGGGTTCCTCCAACATTACTGAGTTGGTGCATACCTATATATATATATATAATTTTTTTTTGTGAAGAGACAGTAATTAACCAAACTAAATATAGTCTTGGTCAGCAGGCAGATTGAATTTTCGGTCTTTTTGGCACCAAATATTTATCCAGTCAACTGTCAGAGTTGTTGAGGCTTCCTCTATCACCTTAAAGACCAGAATTCTAAGCATTTATAAATTTAGGGCAAAATACCTCAACTAACCAATGTTATCTTAATTTTAAAAAAGATCTAATGTTACTGGACCTAGAAGATTGGTATAATACAAGGATTTGTTTGTTTTTGAAAATTAGCCATTAATTTTTTTAGGCTTGGATATCACTCTTCCAGTGGAGAAAATGCAACTGCCTTAACCACTGGCTTTATTACAAAATATAAAAAAACTTTGATTTAATTTTTTTTTTTTTTTTTTTTAAAACTTGGTCAGGCAAACAATATGAAAAATTCAAACAATAAAAAATTTAACATTAATTTTTTTTTCGATGATGTAAATCAGTTGCTTGAAATCCTTTTTTTGTAAATTAATTCATCTATTTAAGAAAATTAAATTTATGGGGGATTGTTTTGGTTTTTATAAAACAAGCAAATATTTTTTTTGTCATTTTTTTCTTTTTTTTCTACGAAACTAATTTCCTTACGAAAAACAGGAAGTGATTTTTTTTTTTTTTTTTTTTCGATGTGAAGAATTTAATTTTGCTGCTGCAGTTGTTGTTGGCACCAAATCCATTCCTGGGGCAGTATTTGCATGAACAGAACATATTGGGTTGGGGAATAGGCATAAAAAAAAAAATATCTTACCAATTGGATTCAAATAAGAAGCAAAACAATTGATTAGACATGCCCAACAAATGTAGATAAGTTCAGTAGGTGGGTCAGGGATGTGTCCCCAAACTAGCAGAAGAAAATAGCACAATAATAATGAATTCACTTCTTTGTAATAATTTTACATTAATCATAACAAGGTCAGAGTAGTTAATATGAGCATAAAATGGATTCAAACAAAAAGACAAATTAATAGTAAATAACACTTTGTAACTAAACAAGTCTCTCAATATAATACTCTATTAATCAGTTTTGTAAATAAATACACACACAGTAAGTGTGTGTGTATATATATATATATATATTACTGAAGTATTTATTGGTTAATTTTGTTTTCAACATATAAATTTGCAGTATGAAAGAATGAAATATTTTTTTTGGTGTAACCAAAAAAAAAAAAAAAAATTAAATCATATGTAAATGTTAGCTTGGATTTTTTTGTTCTTTGCCATTGAAGCAGCAGAATCCAAGGGAGGTAACTATTCCACCGCCATTTTTTTGTTTTAAATACAAATTTAATAAATCTAGCAATAGTGATATTATTGAAACAAAAAATTCTGAAAATCGTCAAAGGAAAGAAATATTTACAAAAACCGATCAATTTTATCCAATTTTACAATCTCAAATAACTGCAGAAAAAAAAAAAAGTTAGCTGACCCAATATTAAATTCTTCACCCTACATTAAGCCTGCTTTAGATAGTCACCACCATTTAATAATCAGCGAGATTACTGATAGACCCCCCGCCCTATTTGTACCCTTGACACAGCTCCTAATAACATGATCCAATTCTGTAAAATTGGACAATATGAGGAGGTGTACCCTGGCTGCAGGCTCTTAGTAGGAAAGGAAAGATGTCTCACCTCCATCTCACTTGCAGTTATTCCAGTAATGGCTAAACAAGGATAAACAAAATGGTGGTGCCTAATATAAACCTGCCCACTCCAACACCCAGTTTCAAATTTACAGAAAAAATCCTTCCACAGAAAGTTGAGGGAGAATCCCTTTTATTTATTCATTTTTTTTTTTTTTTTACCCATCAATTGCAGATTTGTCACTGACAGTTGAGCCATAAAACTGCAATGACATTTGTATCATCTGCAGTTAACGGGCTAAGGTCAAAAGTTAAGTGGCGATTGAGCTCCAAGAAGAAAGGACTAAAAAATAAAGATATTACAAGAAATTCTTAGTGGGGATATGAGACTGAAAGGGGGAAAAATATTACCTCTCTTTCTATTTACTTTTTATACCAGAGGAAGGCTGTAGAATGGATCAGCTGAAATATTGCAAATGAAATTGTCATTCCAAAAGTTGGCTGGTTTGGCAATCACTCATTTCAAAATATTAGAGCCATGAGTTCCATCATACCAGACCCAAAACTAAACCTAACTTCAGATATTGAATACTGAAATAAGAAAAAGTTCTTGTATTGATTATTAACCTTTTTGATATTAACCCATATAATTCTTTTGTCAGTTTAAATGGACAACCCCCCCCCCTTTTTTTTTTATCATATTTTTAAAATGTTTACAAACTATAATTTTGGAAAGGGGACATTTCACTGAAATCTGTTGGAAAATTTTCAATCTGTAATAAAAAAAAAAAAAACCCAACATTAAACAAAATGATCACAATATATGGAAAAAAGGCAGCATCAGTTTAAACTGACAAAGTAGTTAAATGAATTTCTGTCTTTGAAACTAGAAGTTAAAAAATGTAAGCGTTTCCTTTCTCAAATCAAATAAATGCAATAAAGGCAACGGAAGTTTTCAGTCCTAACATCAGGCTAAAAAAAAGTTACATCATTTTAAAAGAATAAACTGTTGAAAAATATATTTATACTCACTCCTAATGGATGACATAATATTGGGGGGGGCCTTAGTGCTATAAAAACAGATATAACAAGCAGCCAAAAATTTTTTTACAAACCATTGTTTAAATTTGCTAGAGAGAAATCTACAAAATTGTAATTTAAATTTGTAGCAAAAATATTCTCACCATCACCTTTTTAATATAAATTAGGTTATTGCTCTGAACCAATGATCACTAATTTTGTATAAAAGAATTGTTTTTAACCGTCACAAATCAATGTCAGAAATAAAATATGTAAAATATTTTTGCTTAATATCCTCATCTGATAAAATGGTGAATAATTAAATTCAAAGTAATATAAAGTTCACTAGTCCTTATTTTTAAGAAAAATTTAACTTTGTCATGAACCATAAGTGGGTCTTTTTGAATGCTGGAATTTTGAGAAAAAGACAATTGAGAGAGAAAATAAAAAGTTAAAAATCTCCATGGTAGATTTTATGAATTTGTTTATTTGTAAAAAAAAATGAAAAAAAAAAAAAAATGGAGATTTTTGTTTTCAAGACTAAATTATTTGTAGCCAAAGAATATCTGAACAATTAATACTTGGTCAATGTTTGAAAAGATGTAGATAAATAAGAAAATGCAATATTCCTTCAAACCATTACCATTTACAGGTTTGATTTTTGACTAATTTGACAAAAAGCAATGTAAAGTAGATGCAGGGTTTTATCTTAACGATGAGAAGTATGAAATTATACAGACAAAAAAAAAAAAAAATTGGACATCTTGAAAAGATTGTTTAATCAAATGGAAAAATTCATTTGCTGAAAAATGGAATGTGTGTTTTTTTTTTGTTTTTTTTTTTATCTTTCCAAAATAATTTTTAACTAAAAAAAAAATTGTTCTTAAGGACAGTTATACATTTGATCTTCTTGGCCAATGAAGAAAAGGTATATTGGACTATATATTGCATATAAAAATTACTATTTATATCAAGACACAAGTATTGACTTTTTTCTTTTATAAATTTCATTATCTATCAATCAGCCCTAGAAGGAAGAGACCAGTGTACTTTCAATAAAATTCAGTATTGTTAAAAAATAAAAATACAAATTGAAGTGTCGGTGACTTTCGGCATAAAATGATAGCCAACCAATGAGATGGAGATAAAAAGAAGGTGGGGGGGGGATAGAGAAAAATAAAAATGTGTAAGTCTGATGGAGGGGACTAGTAGACCCAGTTGAGTGGTACCCATTGGGTTTCATGGCTCAGCTCATCAACAGCTTTTTGGAGTGTTTCAAACGACTGGTTGAAGTCATCATTAATGATCGTCAAATCAAAATAACTTTTGTAGACTTGTTCAATCTGCATACTCTCTTCAACCATCTCCAGGAAATTTTCCTCCTGAAAATAAAAATTAAAGACAAATGGAATTGTCAAAAATCCAGAAAACATCAAGTCAACCAAAGTACTTTGTTCTTTTACATTTGGAGATTATTTTTATCCAATTTTTTTCTTATATAGAGTAAGATTTTAACATTAAAAAAATTAATTAAAAACAGGGTTCAATACAAAAGTAGAGCAATAAATATTTATTAATTATGCACACTACAAAACTCTACATTTTGTTTCAACATTAAAATTTTTTTTAAACATTTCATCAGGTGGGAAATCATGATGCTACTAAAATATTCTGAAATGCAGTTAATGAAGCACATCTTCCATTTCCGTCATTGGAACGTTTCCCATCCATATTTTAGTAGCATTGGGATTTACCACCTGATGAAATGTTAATTTTTTAGTGGGTATGTGCATATTCTAATGTAACATTGCATTATATATATATATATATATATATATATATATATATATATATATACACACACACGAGGGAGAAAAATAAGCAACATGTTCAAAAGCAATTGACAGAACTCAAATTCAACTAAACCTTAAGAAACTCCACTATGACATCATTGTTGCTTAAGCAACTCTAAAGAAAAAAATAGTACGAAAGGATCTAGACGAGTGGTCATTCAGGGTAACCCTCATTTCATGATTTGATAGGAAAGAGTGGATCTGCTCAAAAAAAGTGTCCAGAGACACCATAACTTTTCAGTTCAAGGAGAAGACCTGTATGCTAGACTGTCAATGGCTTTCCAGATGTCCAGTGGTAGTCTGGGCATCACCATTTTTATCTTGAGTAGGACAGATTCTTTTTGCAATAATCAGCAGCTGACCGGGAGAAAGAAAAGCCATATTACTCATTTGAGAAAAGGCCCTGTGATGAAAAATGTTGAACCAATTCAGTACTGATGAGGGCCTGTAGGAGTTTCCCAAAAAAGAGGTAGAAGGCTAATTGGTCAATAGCTGGAAGAGAGGGTTCTTAAAAGCTGGAACAACAGATGATTTCCAGCAGGCAGGAAAGCAGGAGGCATTTATTATACAGTTTAGAGAGAACAGGAGCCAGTTCAGGAGTGCATATCTTAATGATTATGACAGATATATATCATTGGGCCCACGTGCTTTGTGGGGATCTCAGAGATGATGGAAGCAGTGGAAGGGGTTATATGTATATCACTCAATCCTAAGTGGGAAGTTAGGAAAGGATACATTCCAGATGAGCCAAGATTAGACTTTGAGGAGAATTTACAGGTAAAGTGTTCAGCTTTATCAGCAGAGGATGATAACACCTCATATTGATTGAAGAGGGGGGAGGAATAAAGACCTTACACTTATTTAATGCCCTATTAAAGAGCCGCCAGTAATCATGAGAGCCAAAGTTGTTAGAGGTCATGCAGTGCCTTATTCTCTTGGCAAACAGGGACTTTGCTCATTGAGGACTCACTCACATTTATTGCAAGCACCAACAAATAGGTACCTGTTGTGACAAGAACTGTCATGCTGGTATAGCTGAAAATAGTGGTTCCTGTGTGCTATACTGATGTGAGCCATGGAGAGGATTAGGGGTTTCACCTGGTATTTCCAAGAAGGGATGAAAGCATCCATTTCAGCTTTGACCCAAGAAGAAACTTCCTTGGCCTAATTTTCAATTGAGAGGTTAAAGATGTTGGTTCAAGGGGCATCACAAAGAAAATTAATCTCAGTCAGCATGCTGGTAACTGAAAGAGGTCTTATGGATAGGGTGATCCTGTTTAATGGTTGATTGGAATGAAATATCACTGGATACCACGGAATGGTCTGAATTATCAAGAGGGCAGTATGTCTTTCTCTCTTTCCTCCTTTTCTTTCGGATGGCAAAGTTGTCATTCCAAGGGTCATCACAAAGAAAATCAGATTGTGAGTCCCAATCACCATGCTGGTCATGAAAAGAGGTCTTATGGATAGGGTGATCCTGTTTAATGGATGATTGAAATGAAATATCAGTGGATACCACAGAGTGGTCTGAATTATCAAGAAGACAGTGTTGCAAAGCTTTACAATAGTGAGGAGAGGAAGAGAGAAATAAACTGAGATGCCAGTTGCTTGGTTTTGCAAGGGAAGCTAGTAAGGAAGTCCATGATTTGAGTAAGGGATTGGGAAATGGAAAAATTTAATGTCTGAATACTGGCAACATCAGTAGCTTTTAGAACGTTTAAGCCACGTGTCACAGTGAGCATTAAAGTCACTGAAGACTAAGGTGTATGCATATGGAGAGAAATGCTAATATACTGTAGTCCTGGGAAAAGGGGAGCAATAAAGGAAAATAAAACTTTTTCTCAAGTCCACTAGCTGTTATAGCTCTTTCTGGTTGGCATTTATTTCCAAACTTCTTTTCTCAAAGTCTATCAATTTAGTTATCTTGAAATGCTTTTCTTTGTATTTGTTAAATTCCAGGTATAAAAAAATTTAAGCAACTAGTCAAGCAAATTGTGTTAATGTTTTTTGGAAAGGCATGAAACTCTCTCTTTTAAGTGAGATTACTCATTGCTTCCTGGCCATGAGTAATTGCAATTGGGGACTTTCAGCCTTTGTAAGGCAGTATGTCTAAGAGACGGTTACTCTAGGAGAAAGGCAAAGCTTAGTCCTCCTTTGGTTTGTTTTATTTTATGGCATATCAACACCTCAATGGGTTATTTAATGCCAAGAAGATTTTTATTGCTGGTAATATTTTTCCCAAAAATGTATTGCTGGCAATAAATTTTTTTTTTTTTGACTCCAATTTGGGGGTTAACTATTTGCTCATAGCTGAGACCCTAACAGGTGCTACCAACTCAGGTCAGGGTGAACCTGGGAACCCCAGCAAATAAGAGGCAGTTACATGCTCCTCAAAACCTCCTGATCAGAGGCCTTGCTGTTGGACTTAGTCCTCCTTGACTCTCATCTTGGCCCACTGACCTGCCTAAACAATAGACTTGCTGTACACAAGCTCAGGTAAGAAAAAAAAGGAAAAAGGATGGTACTAACAGACAAGTGTAAATATGAAAATGAGGCTCTAGCCTGCTTGCCTTCCAACAGTCAGGGGACATCCGAGTGTGGTGTCGGGTTCGACTTGTGAGCTTGCTCGCTTTCTAAAATATCTGGCAAACATGGATAAATGTACCCACAATAAGACAGTGTTTCAAAAGGACAGTTTTCTCCCATGACACCACATTTTTAATTACCTTCACTCTTCGGCAATATTTGTTTTAAAAAGCAATGATTAGAATTGTAATAAAACCTAGGCATGTGAATTTATACATTTTTCCTTGGTTTTTAGAATTTACAATAAAAATAATAAACGCTATTTATTTCTTAGTGTTCATTTATCTATATTATTTATTAGAATTGGTTAACTGCCAATTGATGCAAACTTTATAAAATGGTAAATAATAAGGATTTCCTTAAAGTCATGTGATAGCCGCTTAGTGACATCATTTCATACAGGGCTATAAGTGGCTGTCAATTTCAGTTGGTTTACATTAACCAAAATGAACACTTGCTTTTTCAGCCTGGACCAAGGGGCTGGGGCTAAATCTGCCTCCTCCAGCACATACTACAACTTACAAATACATCATGCATTTCCCTTTGGGAATAGTTTCTTTCTACATCTGGGGAAGATACTATCTCTGCATAGCAGTACTCAATTTCCTGTTTGCATAATATTTCCTCATTTGGGACATAAATCCATGACTTCTCCAGAAACACAGGGTCAATCTCCATGTTATATGTAAGACCCTATTTTTTCATTCTCCTTTCACTCTGCCTGCTGTGTAGATATATCTAATATATTTTTCTCTGTATGGGACATGAGCAAATATGTAGATGAAAAGTCTCTCTGGTAACAAAGGATGTTTGTTATTCCTTTTCCTTTCACCTATTCCATTCTGTCCATGAAATATGTTATATCAGATATGATAAAGCTCATAATGGGGGAAATATAAATGAGAGAATAAAACTTTCTTCTATAGCAATCCCATTATGTCCCTATAGTTTACATATTTTAATAATTTAGTAAATGTTTATAAAATTCTTTTCATATTTTTTTCTTTATAAATTGGTAAATGATAAATATTGTGTTGCATTAATTTTAGAGGTTTTTAGTTTTTAGAAAGTTGTAAATATAAAATTATTCTTGTAAAAGTGTTTAATATTTTTGCTGTATATTCTCAAGAATAAAAATAATGTATGAATTCAATTTCATGTTTAGGTTATATCCGAATTCTAATCATTACTTTTTAAAACAATAAACTTTGCCGAAGATTGAAAGTGGTTAAAAAAGCAGAATCATGGGAAAAACTGTCTCTTCCACACGCCATCTTATTGCGGCCATGTTTGTGAAATATTGTATGAAAATTGATACAATTTTTTTCACTCTGTGAAAACAAAATATTTAAGAGATATTTTTTTTTTTTTTTTAGCCATTCTGGATTTCTTTTCTCACAGGCAAAATTTTTTATTTTATATCCAATCAGACTTTTGTAGATTAAATTTTAAATTAAAAAGTGAGTGAGTGAATTCTGAAAACTTAGATATGTGTGCCAAAAAAGAAAAAAAAAAAAAAAAAAAAAGCAAGTGGTGATGAATGAATTATGGACCTACCGATTTTATCTCTGCTGGTCTTCCCCCTCTCTGGAAAAAAAGAAAAAATATTTAAGTATAATAAAAAAAAAAAATTGCTATCTCTTAATAGCATATTTACATTTAACACTAATGTTTAATCCTCTTCACCCTAATGTATATGATGGTCCTTTCTAATTAATCTGATCTTTCTAAAGCTACTCTTTCATATTCATTTTTCAATAATGATCCACTTGTTTCAGTCAAGATGTTTGGGGGGGGGGAAGTGAGAGAGTGAACACTTGGGAAAATTACCTTCATAAATCTAGAATGGCTATTTTGTGGAAAATTCTCCCAAGAGGATGCTTCCCTGATCACTACGATCTTAACGTCTCCAGTCAACCATTATCTATCCTACATATTCTCATAATCTGCACTTATTTTCTCCTCTTATGTCTATACAACAACCTCGCCCAGTAACCCTCTACATTGGGGGGCTCTTGTGCCTTGTGAACTTTTAGTTAAAAAAAAAAAAAAAAATTCTGAGGGAATAAATAAAAACCTAAAAACCATTTCAGCAGTCACCTCAAAATGCTGACCTGCATGATGTGCTCATCATGTTTTTCTGTTCCAGCAAGATAAGTCAATCCCTTGCATTGTGTACCAATAACACAAAACTAGCTTCTAGACATTACCTTTACAATATGCTAAAATGTAAATGAGGCATATCCTGATGTCTACACCATGACTTTTTTGTTAAAATATAAAGATTATATTGAATCAATTGCTAAGTCTGCAGCTCGGAAGGTTGGTTTATTGTGTTGTGCTAGACAATTTTTCTCAACAGAATCTGTCTTACATATTTATAAGTCTATCATTTGTTCTTTGCTTTGAATATTGCCGCCACATATGGTCTGCTGCTCCTGCTATATATTTAGAGATTCTTGCAAAAATCCAAAGAAGAATCTGCAATGTTATTGGTTCCGACATCTTGGCAGCAATCACTTTCCCACCATCATAATGTAGCTTGTCTGTGCCTTTTCTATAAATACTTTCATAGTAATTGTTCTGATGAACTTTCCTCTAGGGGAATTTAAGTGCAGTACCAGCTTAGCAGCTAGGTCTCATCATTTTACAGTCAAAATGGCTGCTAGATGCAACCGTAAGTTCTATGCTAACGGTTTCTTCTATCACACTTCTCTTCCAGTTTCTTGTTTCCCAGTCAACTTTGATCATCAAAGATTTAAATGTAATGTCAATCGTTATCTTCGGTCTTAATTCTAGTTCTTTTATTGTCCTCTCTCCTTAACCTTGGTAAGACGATAAACTACATCCAACAACAAGGCCTCTGATCAAGAGGTTTTGAGGAGCATGGAACCATCTCTTAATTGCTGGTATTCTCAGGGCCACCCTGACCCGAGGTGGTAGCACCTGTTAGGGTCCCAGCTATGAGCAAATAGTTAACCTCCAAATTGGGCTAAAAAAAAAAAAAAAAAAAAAAAAAAAAAAAATACCAGCACTACATTTTTGAAGAAAATAAATATTGCCAGCAATAAAAAATCTTGTCAGCATTAAATAACCCATTAAGGTTGATATACCATAAAACAAGACAAACCAAACCAAACCAGAATATTCTCTAACACTTAGTAACTCCTTGTGTCTTAGTAGCTTTATTCCCTTGCTTGGGAGATGAAAGGATTAAAAAAAAAAAAAAAAAAACCTCTTGGTAATAAATGATTATGCATGATATTTTGCATCAAGCAGAATTATCATTTAGCTTTTACCCCACATGAACTTGCAGAGAAAGTCTTTTAGGATAATACTATCATTTTCTTAAAATATACTATGAGCTCTACTCTCAAAATGCCACTGTTAATCATTACTTTTGCCCCTCTCATTTTTAAGCAGTACTCTTCCTCAGATTGTTATATACATTCCCAAAGAATATTTTTCAAAAGATGATGATGGAAACTAGGAGATAGAGAATAATTTTTCATGACCAAATTCCCTAAGTTTTTAGGTTGCATTTTAATCATTTCTCTATTTATGCAAAAATATATTGTAAACAATTTAAAAAAAATGAATGTTGATGAGCAAAACAGTACCATGTATTTGCTGTCTTATATTTTTTAAAATCATTCTTCAGGATGTGGTCAAATCATAGCTCTCCACAACTTCCTATCTTTTGTGGCACAGTGTGTTTTTCTACTATATTTTCTCTATCCATTTATAGTTTACTTGCCGTTTCCTCCTTCCTCTCAATTTATCCTGCATGTGTTAAATTTTCCAAGCCCTCTTTTCTCATTAAATATCTCGGAAATTTCCTATCTCTATGATTCTAAATAAGTGTCCTTTTAATTTCCATTTTCCTTAAAACTTCTTTGATGCTCTATGCATAATATTCTCAGCATCCTTCTGTAAAACTACATTTCTGCTACCTCAAGTCTCCTTTTCATCTGTGAGTATATAGTAGCATTAATATTACATAGCTGTTCAGCATTCTTTTCTTTGTTTCTAACAAAATTTTCCTGTTTTTTAATAGGCATCTTTCCGTATTTCAATATGTTAAAATTGTTAGTTTCTCTGTATTCTAAAGTGCTGGGGGGTAGGGCAAAAAGAGTCGAGTCACCCTTACCTTGTAACCAGTAGCTCTTCTTCCATTCTCGTACATCTTTCTCAGTACATCAGAGTTTGGAGCCGCAATGAATACAATGAAAGGCATGAAATCTGAAGTTTTCAACACTTTTAATGACTATAAAGAAGAAGAAAAGTTAAGAAAAATGAATTACTAATCAATGAATATTTATCAAAAAAGATTCACTTTGTAAGCCTTTTTATTATATAATTATTGTTATATTGCATATATTGTTTTTATATCTTTCATCATTTTCTTTTTATATATTGATTAAAGCAAAAGTGTGGGGGGAGTACAAAAGCAAATTCTACCTATACAAAGGCCAAAATAAAAAAAAAAAAAAATAGAAACAGGTGAGACCTACCCTAACAAAAACCAACAGTGCTCAATGTCTATAAAACAGTGGGTCCCAAATTTTTTTTTTTTTTTATCTTTGCCGCATTTTTGAAATGAAAATTGCTTGCACCTCAAATTTTATGTGATAAAAAGTATATTTAAAAATAAAAAAAAACAAACAGGAGGAGCGTTAAAGGGAGGTAACTGTATTCAAAGTCAGAACATTATTGATAACTCTCCTTACTATACTTAATACTTGATATAATACAAAAATATCAAATATATGATAAAATCAATCAATAATTATTTATAACTATTTAGACTGGGACTCATGGATGCAATTATAATTAATCCATAATATTATTTTGAATTTTGAAATCGTATTTATTTTTGGCATATGGGTTTTTTTAAACTCTTTCTAATTCTTTGATTGTCTTTCAATCATTCTGCTGCACCATTTGGGGAACCACTGCTATAGAATAAAGAAACTTGAAATGTGGAAAACCATTTAACAGAACGATAACAACAACCACCAGAAATATATCCAGATACCCCAAGAGTTTCATGCTGACCACAATCAGAGAATTAACACACACATATATATATATATATATATATATATATATATATATATATATATATATATAAAAATGGTGGTACTTTATTGGAAAAACCTTGGGCATTTCGGCTTGTAGTAGCCAGTACCCAAGGACAAATGAGAAATAAAAAAAAAAGAAAGAACTAAGAGCATGAAACTGAGGCGAAAACAATCACCCAGAGTTCAAGCTCAGTCCAAAGAAAAAAAACCTCCAAAACAAATAAAGGCAACTACGTAAATTGCTCAATACATGAAGTAGAGCAAGCCCTAAGAGCCAGGCAAACCTACCTAGGTTTGACAATCTGTTTAGGTAAAACCTAGGTAGGTTTGCCTGGCACCTTATATATATATATATATATATATATATAAAAAAAAATGTGTGTGGAAATTGCTCAATAGTTGTGATAGAGCTAACATATTTTGTCATATGGACATTAGTTTGTCAGATCACGAAAGCATGAAACCAAGGTTTGCAAACTAAAATCCATGCAACTTTATATATATATATATATATATATATATAAAAGTTATTCATCATAGGGATAATTTATTAAAAGTATAATCACACATAATACTTATGAAAATTTTATTTACTAGTTACTTATGTCCTATTCAAAATGTCCTCCTCCTTTTTCAAAACACATTTCAATTCCGTGCCTTCAAGATTCATTAAAACGTCAGTTTCCTGTCATTTTACTGCCTTTATATTTAATTCTTTAAAATATCAAAACAAATTAAACATTTAAAACCTGATTAATTAATGAACTACTATGGTGCACAACTTTTCTCTCACCCTGGAGATTATATATAATCTCTTTTCTAGTCGCCTGACGATCTCACATGAAATTTACCAGCCAGAAGTGACACCTGTTTATATAAGGAATAAATTTTGGTTTTGTCATTAAATGTTGAGCACTCTTTTCTATGTCATAGTGGGTTAATTTATAAAATTTATTCATAATGTGTGCATATATATTTATATATATATATATATATATATATATATATATATATATATATATATATATATATATATATATATATAGAGAGAGAGAGAGAAAATACGTTGGTACCCTCAAAATATTTATTTGTATTTCCTGGTTGAGGTATTTTCAGGTACATGCAGGTAATGCTCGGTAACTTGACAGATTCATCAATTGGTTTAAATTTTCCAAATTTTTGTATATTGTAGTGTCTTCATCAAAATTAATTGCAAGAATATGAAGCAAATAAATAACCACAAGCAGGACTTTATCAGGCATCTCTTATCAAGACATTTCAAACAGTCCTTCATTTTAAACAATTTTGTGTAAATCAGAAGTTGTACATCAGCTCATATGATAGAATCCAAATTATTGGAAAAGATCAAAGAGTAAACCAGAAAAACATTCATTGATCAACTTGTAGTAGTCTATTTGTTTCTCTTGTCAAATGTCGGGGTTAATATATATATATATATATATTGGTCTGGTAATAAGAATGGACAATTGTAGATGTCTGTTGATAAGGATAGATATTTTTTTACGGTTGCATGAATAACATGACCATGCAATTTATATTAAACGTAAAATACCACAAAGCATGAAATACAAGAAGGAACAAAATCGTTTTAAAAAAATTACATTTGTATTTAATTGTGTTGATGTACATGTGTAGAAGTTAAAGATCTTTTGGAGTTATGTCTCTTAGACTGGGAATATTTTTATCTGAACTCACAAAAGTTGAATTAATTATAAAGCTGAGAAAGGCTGAATAAACTGTAGTTTTAGAAGAATATTTCAAAGAGAAATGTTCTTGTTGCATGTTTGGAAAATGTTCTGTATGTTTGTAATGTAGGTTAGAAAAGTTTGTACACACATGCATGTGTGAATATGCTTTTAACGTCCGACTGCCCATGGTCTAGACAAGAATCCTTAAGATCACATCTTCGCAGGAATTTTGGAAGAGTAAAAGAGAATGAGTGAACTCATGTCTGCTATTTATAGATAATGTAATCACATGGCAGGAAACTTGATTTGGTCATGCGCTGGAAAAAAATATTTGTACGTGGGTGGATTGCAACACCCACTGTGTGTTTATTGACCAATTTGAAGCTGATATCTCCTGAAAACATTTACTAAGCTTAGCAAGCTTTCTGATCCACTTTTTTGCACAAAAATGTGCAAAATTAGAAGAAAGTGGTAGCGGGATGCTACAAACTCATAAATGAAATCAGAATCATAAAGGAAGAAGTTTGGTTGGTTAGAAATGTTCATTTTGAGAATAATCAGAAAATGAACATATGTAAATGCAAGTAAAAAGGTACTCTGTGATACTTACTGTTGGATTGACATCAAGGACACACATTTTGGATGATCTGATCACCTGAAAAATCGAATCTATTTTTGTGCCATACAAGTTGCCATTATATTCGCCGTGTTCCAAAAATTTCTCATTTTGGATATCTTCTTCCATTGCCTCACGTTCCATGAAAAAATAACCTTGTCCGTGGACTTCACCCTCCCTTGGAGCTCTTGAGGTGTCTAGTGTAAAAAAAAAAAAATGCCAACATAAAATCAGTGAAAGAGAAGAAACAAATGGTAATAAATGCAATAAAGTTCAAATGAAAATATAAACCAGAATGCAACTACAAAAACAAAGGCGATAATCAAGATTTCCATATTCAACTTCCTCATAGATAAAAATGGGACTTTACTCAACACCGCCTATCTCAGTAGCATTGCTTTACTAGTGCTGTTTATTTTCTTTTCTTTTACACCTTCCAAATTTGATTTGACATTTTCCCCCCATTTAAGTCTGAAGATTTAACACCCCCAAAAAAAAACATTCTTTTAATAGTAAGACCATAGAAACTCATTCCACCTAAATTTGTGTATAACGCCGTAAGAAAAAAAAAAGAATTCTGTAATTATTTTATTGAAATAATAAATTACGGTATTTATAACGACTTAAGTTGCGCAAAATGGTTTGAAAAGATTAAAGAAAATCGTGACTAAAAAAACTAGCGACAAGTATTGGCTTATAACTTCCACCATAATTTGCACAAATCAAGGAATTATCTCCCTTGGTAAATGGCATCTATCCTTTTAAATTATCTCCCTTGAACCCGACATGATTTATGTATGTTACTTAGTAAAAAAAAAAAAAAAAAGATAAAAAAGGTCAATAATATAAGTTAGCTATTTCCCGAAATTGCTAAAGTCGAAGTATGTGACAGTGCACTGAATGCTGCCCTTCAAAATCAAACCAGCTCTCCTCGATCCGAGAATTGGAATAAAAATCCTTTTATTTCTCTCAATTTAGACTTTTTACAAACCAAGTTCAGTAAGATTGAAGTGAGTCTTTCTATCCCCATTTGTGATTAGCAGCTTCTGCTTAACTAAAGCCAAATGACAATGAATTAGTTTTACTGACACCAGGATTGATAAATATATTATTCATATAAAAAAGCAATTAAAAAAAACAATAAAAATACATTTGTATTTAGTCCTTTCTGAAGAACAATAAGTCTGCAGTCTGATGCATTTATCAGTTTTTTTTTTTTTTTTTTTTTTTCACTGTATATAATAATGTTCAATCTATATAATTAGTGAAGAAGTGTTGGGTTAAATGTATTGATAAGGAAAGGGATTGTAAAGTAAGCACCTTTCCCCCAATGAATAAATCCACATCTTTTTTCCCTTAAAGAGGCAACCATTTTGTTTTTTTTCAGATAAATAATATAATGATAATCATAGGAAATAGACAAACTGAGAGTTTGGTCATTTATAAATTTATATGTCGGTGTGATGCTGACCAATCAGTGCCTTGATGAACGTGTTGCACAACATGTTCCTGGCAACATCAGTCAGTCAGAGTATGAGTACCTGTAATTCATGTCTTATGCAGATGGCATAGGATTCCGTTATTGGTCAACACATCTTGGATAATCTAGAGTGTGCATATAAATACAGTGACTTGTGGTTTTCCATTTTGAGCAAAGCATGGTTGGCTAAGCATCTGCACATCTTACAAGCAGTATTTATTAAATTGCATCAACTGTCTTTGTGCTGACAGGAGAAATTTGTTTGAGTTCTTTCTCTACTGAGTGCTTTGTGAGTTTATATTTTTCTTTTTAAAACTCATTGGAATGGCTTATTCTGTTTAATTTTTTTTTTTCCATTCCCCCTATTTTTTTTTTTTTTATTTCCTTTTTAATATTAAATTATATTTTAATCATAGTTCTTTGTCTCTTTTCAGTTACTCATTTCCTGTTATATAATTATATTATACTATTCATCAATGACTCTTCTGATGAAGAGTTGGCCGGAAAAAAAAAAAAAAAAAAAAAGTTACCTTTTAAAAGGGAAAAATATAGTTTTATCTGTTTAAATAAATGTCTGGTACCACAGAACTTATAGTGTTTTATATATATATATATATATATATATATATATATATATATAGTGTGTGTCTATAAGCTTGTATTTTTTCCTTTGATCATTATTTTTATTTAATTTGAATTAGGAATTCACCAATTCTTTTATTAACTGACTAAATGAGAAAAACTAAAAATAAATAATGGAAAATTACTGCTGGCTTCATCAACTTTAAACTTTTTCAGAGTTGGTTCAAAATATCAAAAACAGAACTGGTCATTTTGAGAATATCAAGAGTAGATTATTTTAAAATTAACAACAGATCAACTTTTGTTGTATTATTTAAAGTTGCATTTTCTCTCAAAAAATACAAAAAAAAAAAAAACACAAAAAAATTCACAATAGATATAGGCCTGTTTTATACTAGAGTTGAAAAGGTAGACATACATTGCATTTATACCCAAGCCTGAATGTATGAAGCTAGAAAGTGGCACCTTTAGGGTGGGGGCTCTTACCCCTTTACAGAGGATGCACTCATCATATACACTTTTCAACATGGCAAAAGACAGTCTTTTCCTTTTATCTAGTGCTATGTTGAAATATTTTTTTAAAATCAAGAACTAGAATTTTTTTTGTTTGTTTTTATCAAAAGAAAAGAAAAAAAAAATTACATACGTGGCATAACTGCAGCAAACCTTGTGGGGTCAGACTTTATGAGCCTTTCTTTGAGAGATCGTCTACCAACTCCTGAAGCTCCAACAAGGACAAGAGTTTTCCTCTGGAAAGGCGGCATCTTAATTACCTCTTCATAGATCATGATTTCACATTTGTCATAGTCTAGAAGGAAAAAATATTCTAAAACTAGTAGAGGACTTATTAAAAAGAAAAAAAAATTGAGGGAATTTTTCATGCATGCATTGGCACTTCTACCTAACATGTTTCCTGGTCTTCAGGTTGGGAGCACGGTGTAGTATCTGATAAAGTACTCGGTGGGGAATAATCTAAAATAAAAGTTAATATGAATTTTGGCAAATTTACTGATAACACAAAACTTATTCAGAAATTTGATAGATTTATTAAAAAAAAAAAAAAAAAATTGATAGACAGAACTTATCATGGTCAGCCAATTTTTCTTATTCAAAGTTAATTTTTTCTTCCCCCAAAATCTTTATAAAAAGATACTTGAAGACTTTGGTGAGAATTAAAAAGAAAAATAGTCTTTATTTTAATATAGTCCTGAAGGAGATTGTAATGAAGGATGAATTTAAAAGTTAGATTTGATCTTCTAACAAAGCTGAGGACTTCTCATAGCTTAGAAGCTAACACCAGTTTATGTATTTTCCCAAGTTTTCCTGAGGCAAAAGGGACGTAAACTCTATGCACACCAGGAGCTGAGCCTTTTATTTTTGATCTGGCTGTTCATCAACAACCAGAGTAAAGTTTTGATAAAAAGCAACCAAAGAATAATGATGAAAGATTTCAAGATTCAAAAATTAATTAGCAAAAAGAAAGAAAGAAAATCAAACCATTTCTGGCGCAAATTTTTTTTTTTTTTAACATACAATGTGTGTTAGCACATGCAATACCCTGTCTTCATCAGCCACCAACCAGGGGCGATCTCACGGTTTCGGTGGCTATGGCGGGACCGCCAACCCAGGCACCACCAGGCAGGGTATGAAGAAAAGCTAATTGATCTTTCCTCAATTCTCAATGAAATAAATAAAACGATTGTTCCTCTTTGCAGCTTCTGTCTGTAATGAAAGTTCCTGAATGCTTTTGCCGTTATTGACGCACTCGTAAAAATCATTATAAATGACTACGCAAATATTTCACTTGCACAAATATACATTTGCTTACTAACCTTTGTTGTTTTTAGTGTTGTACTTGATCTTCTTTTTCCTTTTAAAACCACAGACTGAATAAAAAAATAAAAAAAATAAAAAAAAAAATAAATAAAAGAGGTCATATTTACAAAAACAAAAAAAACAAAAATCTTGAGTATATATAAGATAATGAAATGTATTGTGTGTTCCTCTGATGTCTCTTGTGCAACATTAAATACTTCTTTTCAATCCTCCGTTTTTGAGTTACCGCACATGTCACGAACATAAAAGAAAAGTTGCTCTCCTCCTCACTGCTTCAGCCCTCTTATTATACCAACACCACAGCCCACTGACCAATTAGTGTTCTTTATTTTTGTCCTCAGTTACCCAGACAAAAAGCATCCTGAAATCTGACCAATCTGCATGTGACTTGCTATTGGTCGAAATCACGTTAAGCTGTACTGTTACAGAACATACACTTTTGGAATAATCCAACATGAAGAGGGAAGATTCATGCCAATTTAAAGGAACAAAATGCTGCTACTACGTGTCGTGTATTGAGGTAAGAAACTTATTTTCCTTTGCACCCGATGCAAGCCACTAACTCGCTTTTGTGTAATTGTTCACCCCATGAAATAAAAATCAATAAATGAAATAATAATGAATAATAAAAAGAAAAATACATTTTCCCATGATGCTAATAGTAAATGACCCAGAAAATATGATTACCTCACTTGGTTTTGTCAAATGCTGTTAGGTGGCACTGTTAAATTCTATAAAAAAGCCAACATTTCCTCATTCACTCTTTCTTGTCTTTGCTTCAAATGTAGAACCATGTGGTAATTCCATTCCTACCAGGGAATATCAGTTTCCCTGTTACACTGATGACTGAACTCTCTTTTCACTTACCAATGCATGGCATTTACACAAGTTTTCTAAACACCTCCCCCCATGAAGTAAATCAAGCTTTCCCTTTGATTGTTCCAACTCGGCACAAGGCTTATACTTACTAACTTCTGGAGCAAGAAAAAGAAAACAGACATCCCATGTTTAAACCTCCATGTGATAAAGTAAATAGAAACCTTCATTTGGTTGTTCCAACTCAGATTTGAGTGTTTTCCCTTTAGTGTTCATGCTTGTTTTGGTACCCAAGTAAAATGTATACCTTTCCATCAAGACAGGTATACGAGTCTCATAGATTACACAGGTGTGAAAAATTAAAGTCATTAAAAACTGATTACTGCACTTAGGAACACAAAACATTTTTCTCCCTCATGTGTGTGTGTGTGTATATATATATATATATATATATATTCAAAAACACAAACTATCATACTACCTAGGTTTCAACCATTAGGTCTCCTCAGGCAAGCAGAATGAAAAATTTAGTGGATTCCATCACCATAATATACAAACACTGGAGTTAGTAAGGAAAGATAGAGGAAAAAAAAAAAAGTGCGTCCTTGTTTGGGTCTGTGGCAATAGCCTATTTCTCTTCTTGGCATAGTTTGCAGATGGTCCCACAGACTACCCAGCTTCACTTTTTTGATAATATTCCACTTTATATAAGTAACTCTACACTTAATTTGCTTTAATCTTCATGGTTTATGGTAAGGCATGAAGAAAGGAGGGTCACAATACTGGTTTGGCGTTTTTACCATCCTAAGCGTAAAACCAGGAGAAGGGACATGATCTGGCTTGAACCACCTTCAACCTGCAGTTGAAAACCAAAATTGACAAAATATTTTTCAGGCTTTTAGACAAGCATTCCCCCCACCCCCCAAAAAAGTACTTCTAACAAAGGTGTTCAACAGGAGTAAAGTAAAACTCAGTTACAGCTGGACAAAGGACCTATTAAACATCATAAAAAGACAAAGCCATTAACTGCAGAAATAGAATTGTCCTTTAGATAGTCAGTGCCAAACAAACAGTGTTATTTATTCAGTGGAGGTCAGTGATTTACATTGGTTGTACAGAGTGACTATTTAAGAGGAGATTTTACAACCACACTATATTTTATAGGCTTGAGAGCCATAGAAACAATACCAAGCTAGCAAATTGTGCTTGGAGATTAAAGGAAATTAATGGCAGAGTTCCATACAAAGTGGAATATTATCAAAAAAAGTAAAGCCAGACAGAGTCCATGGGATTGTAAATCTAGACAATAGCTACAAAATATGATCTCTCCAAAGTGTCCATCTTATTTGGGTTGAGGAATTAAGACAACGAATGAAAAGGCAAAATGAAAACTTTTTGTTTTGGAATTCCAGTGATATAGAGGAAACTAAAATCATTTCGTAATGATAATTATTTTCATGCTTGTAAAATTCAAAAGAAGTCGCTTAATTGTCTATCAGCAATATGACCCTTACCATGTGAATAGGCTTCATATTTTTTTTGACAGCACAGTATAGTAAGGTCAGTTGGGCATTGTCTGTGAGAAAAAGAGCACCATGATGCAATTGATTCTGCCAGAAATTTGGAAACGGAATGCTGTACTGCTTAGCCTTCACACTGGAAGCTCCAATATGAATACTTCAGTGTGTTTGGGTGTCAATCAGAGAACAGTTCAGAGGATTCAGAAAGAGTTGGAGGAGTCTAATAGTGATTACAAAGGTACAGCAGCTCAGAAAACTCACTGATTGTTCTTATAAGGAAAGAACTCCCAAATTTGTTGATGAGAGCTTCAGACTCAACACAGAAGCCTACATCAAGTGCCTTGTGGGGGTAGTGCTGCCTTGAGTCAAGAAGGTGGCTGCTGGAAGACCCTAGATCTGGCAACAGGACTTTGGGTTCTCCTGCTTGTACAGCATGGTGCAATCATAGCTGTCAGACAATTTCTGCAACCACATCAACCCTTACATCTGGCCACCTAACTCCCCAGACTTGCAACCCCCTTGATTATTATGTGTGGGGCACAGTTGAGCAAGAGACCAACAAAACTCCTTGTAACACCAAAGATGAACTGAAAGCAAGGATTATGGCAGCATTCAACAACTTAAACAAGCAGACCATCCATAAAAGTTGTTGGAGACACCAAAGTCGTCTGGAGGTCATCGTTGAAATGAATGGCAGTTTTATTGAATAAATTTACTCTTTAGTATTTCAATATATTTTTGAGTAATTTTGGTAAATATATCTGTTAAAATGAGATGTCAGTGATTGACACAATTTATCCATTGCATATATATATATATATATATATATATATATAAAAAAAATATATATATATATGTCATTCATTCAGACAGTACCGTTTCACTGTATCACAGCTCCTCAGTGCAACTAGACAACCGAATGCCTCAAGCCCAGTTCGGAACCCAACTGATTTTGGTGTCAGAGCTTCTACCACTGAGCCATCTTCACTTGACAGAACAAATCAGCCAAATCTAGCTTATTGTTTTTTTTACAAATGTAAACACCAAGCAGCCAAAGTGTTCCATGAGAGAGATATCACCTGAAATAATTCCTAAAGTATAACTTATTACATACTTATCTACTAATCATGTTTTTTATACTAATATTATTTTAACCATTTCAATCTCCAGCTCTTCTGAGGTGATGGTAGAATTTGGTAACATTTTTGGATGAAACCTTTTATTTAATCCTGAGGCATAGAGTGTTCTAATTTGATCAGCTATGCTAGAGGATATATTGTATTAGTTATCATTTTTACTGGTGTTAGAAACATCACTTCATTTCGACTTGCAAATTTTGGAAAATAAATAAGCAAATAAACAACTTCAAATGAAAATATAACCTTTGACCTGTATGATGCAAGGTAAAATTTTGAAACCCATTTCAGATCTTTGATGTTTAGAAATATAATAATTCTTCTTAGCTAAGTTTGTCATCATGTTTATTCCATTTGTTCCACTGAACCAGCGTATATAATTTCATTGCCTGATGCAAGGATTAAATTCTCAATCACTAGGTCAATAAATGCATTTAACCAACACTTAGAGTCACAAGATTATAATACAGAAATGTTCACAGATATTGAACTCTTAACAGTTGATTCCACTTACAGAAGCTTTTTGAGTAATCATACTCTGGTGAAACAAAAGCTTTTCTTTTTTCTTCCAATGATCGTGATGGAATGATGCCTGCTATGCTATCTCCATTAACTTTCCGAGCCTGAATAAATAAGCAAAAAAGTTTATTTAAAAAACTTGCAATAAATATTTGATTAAAAGAAAAGGTAATATTGAAAAATGATAGTTTTATATTATGACAGAGTCCGCCATTTTGGAGAGTTTCCTAGCAATGAGGATTAAGTTGTATACAATTCATTCCAACTAAAAAGATAAAAAAAAATTGATAAAAGATAAAAAAATTTGGGGACTCAATTTTTTTCTTTTTTATTACTACTTTCCTAATATCTAACATATACACATCTTTCTAACCAAGACACAAACATGTAATGAAAATGCACATGTAACTTTGTAATTGACGTGCAAATTCAAAAACTTTCAGGTCATTATACATGCAAACAGTTCCATCGCTACACAGGAATTATGTTTCAAAAACAAACTAAAAACTTCAAATTATAGAATTAAAGTCCCTAGTTCCGTTTCATTTTCAAGCAAATTTTGGAATAACTTATTTTGAAAGTTACTGAGTTTTATAAGCACATACATTCATAATATTAGTTTCTAAGGATACAGGGAAATCCACTCATTTTAATAAGGGGCAGTAGGGTATACTTTTTCTCTGACAACTATTGTATCAAAATACGAGTTACTTTTGGAAAGAGGTTAAGACAAGCAAGGATAGGAGTGCCTTTTCGAATGAATGATAACATCTGTTCAATGCATATCATCTGTTTTTTTTCGATGACAAAGTTTTTCGGCACTTTTGTTTTGCCGTTAAATTTGTATTTGTATACAAAGATTTTTTCTAAAATGTCGTCAGAAACGTTATATGTTCATCGGGTCAACTTAAAAATTACATCCTTTACTTTTTATGGTTGAAGAGAATTTTTTTAATATGTAGAAATATAGTCTGGATTAAATTATTTTTTTTTTTTTTACAAGTGCATCATTTATTCTTATGTATGACCAGTGCATTTGTCAAATTGTTATTTATGAGTTTCTTCAATGCATTGTGAGGAACAGTCTTGGCCATTTATTTTATAGAAATGCCTGCTTCAGAAATATTGCTTTGGGTGTTTGTAGATCTGATTATATCCATCATGGTTTTGGAAGTGTTTGTGATTATTTGGATGTGATAGGTTGTTCTGGATGGTGGATTTTACAGAATTTGGTCACTAGTATTATGTATCTGTTCTTGTATAATTTGTTTTTATGGATGATGTTATTTTTGTTGTGGTTGTATATGTTGTATGCCTTTCTTCTTGTGTTGTGGATGAAATATACTTTTGAATGTGTTTTCTATGTAGGTTTCTTCTTTGGGTAAATATTGGAGGCTTCAAATTCTTAATGCTCTTAAATAGAAACGTAATTATTCCAGATTTAATTTTAGATGAGTAGCTTGAGTAGAAACTGACCATTTCATTTTTGCTGGTAGCGTTTCTATAAAATGTCAAAATTAAGTTTGTTATTGTTCTTGTGTAACATGATATCTAGGTGGGGAAGAGAGTATAGTTGGTTTCAGTTACAAAGGTGAAGTCTATTGTAGGTTCAACATTGTTAAGTTTGTAGAGAAGATCTGTTAAATTAGTATGTTGTGGATATATTAATAGCGAGTTGTCTATGTATCTGAAATAGGAAGAGGAATGTTTTTGAATGGGTCACTTTCTAGAAACTCTAATAATAGACAAACAAGTCCGCTGCTGAAAGGAGATTCCATAGGTAACACAATTTTTTTTTTTTTTTTTGCTTATTGATGAAAGACAGAAAAATGTAAGTACTGTCACATTTTAGACTGGCATGTCACGAGGGTTGATATTGAAGAGAATGCTTAAATTTAAATTTTGACTCAACCAATTTCTTTTTTGTAACCAGTAAAAAAAAAAAATCTGTAAGTGCATTGTTAACAGAAATTAATGTTCTTTGAAAAGGCATGAAACCATCTTTTCCTGTGCACTGTCCTGACACAAGCCAAGTGGAGGGTTCAGAGAAGGTTATACTATTATACTATGTATGATGGCTGTCTGCTTGCTGAACACCAGATGGGCTTTGGAAGGGTGAGATGGTTCCCTCAACTGCAGAAAACCCAATGATTATTTATAGGCATTCAAAGCTTTTACAACATTGTGTGGATCAAACAGCACTGATCCAATAATAAGAGCCAGTTAAGATAACTGGAGACCATCTGTGCAACTGGTTTATGTAATCTGGTGATAAGTCACTGGTGGGATCATTAAAACCAGAGTCATATCACGATAATATAACCTCTGCCATTGTTTAGTATTCCCAAGTGGTCCCCATCTAAGTACTAACCATGCTGAATGCTGCTTAACTTCAGTAATCAAACAGGAACTAATGTTTTCAGTATATTTTGACCAGAGTCTTGGTGAGTAGTGCAAATAAAGAATATCAACCAAGAACATGCAACGTGGAAACACTAGCTAGAAATAAATATAGAAGGAACTGAAGGCACATATGACCATCGAGAGAGGCTGACCATCAGTTCCAACCCAGAACCAATCACAGCTGATCAGCCACTGTCACATGAGCCACAACCAGATTCTGTGACCAGAAGTGGTTGTGTAATTAATAAAGCAGCGTGTCACATAAACATATGGTTAGCCTAATGAGAGAGAGAGATATGAAAGAAAGAAAATTGTCCCTTGTTGGTGCAGTCTATGACACTGCTGGGGTCTGAAGAATTGAAACCAGACAAATGAAATGCAACACACTGTACATCATGACAGGTGCAGCAAGACACTTCAAAGTTTGCTTAGATTATGAAAATGCAGTAAATTTGGGGATTCTTACTTGCAGCTGGTATTATTTAAACTATTAATAACTGGGGAGGAGATGGGCGCTGCCAAGTAACCCTCTATATCTTAGACACCCAAATCAACTCAACCATTATCATTGCTCATCTAACAACAGCAATGCTACACTCCCCATTTATCTATAAAAACATGACCTCCCCCTTCCAATTTGTGAGTGGCCATGATAAATATAAAATGACAGAACTGCCCAACAAACAGAATTGAAACAAACAAGAAAAAAAAAATAATATAAAGTAAACAAGCAATATTGATAAGGCAAAACAACAGTGATAAGGCAAAAAATTTATAAACTAAGAATTGAAGTTGACACACAAAAGCGAATTCTGATAAGTGAATGTGGCGTTCTGACTTCAAGACAAGACAGACCAAGACTTAGCCATATGAAACTGAGAACTAGCCAATTTTATTCACGAGAAAGAAATCCCTGCATGCATTTGTGTGCTTTTGCCTATAAATTGGGAGAGGGGAAAGTACTTTGCAGTTTAATTAAAGATTAAATAATTTGACTTACCTGCCACCAGTTGGCATCATCATTGCATAAGATTTCAAGGATGTCACCATCTTTGAAAGGCAATCCAGCTTCTTTACATGGAATCAAGCGATCCTTGTAGGGGTCATAATTGAAATGCGCTTTAATGAACACCTGGTGGGTGATGAAAGAAAAAAGGAAAAAAAAGAAAAGCAATTAGCAGGTCATTGTTTGTTTGTGACCGGATCAGAAGTTGTTTGTCTTAGTGTACTGAAAGCAAAAATATATTTCTCTCTCCCTATTCAAATCTAGAGAATTTAGATATAAACACAAAATTTCTAAGTCCCTCATTCTTTCTTGCCTTTCAAAGAATGCAAAGCTGATAATAATTTCCAAAGGTGGAAGAATTCAAATAACCAGGGTAACAATGAAACTGAATTACCAGTCTGGCTCCTCTTTATTGACTTTCTTCTTTTATATGCCTTGTCCCTTTGAGATTTTGGCAATCCTGACTCTGCAATTCTTGCTTTTCTTTACTACCTTCTTTCTCCAATATTCATGGAATATTTTCCAATTTATGTAGTGCAGAATCTTTTCTCTTCAAAAGATTGTCCTGGTATCTTCACACTTTGTAAAACTAATTTAAATTCTGTTCCAGACTATCCTTCTCTTTCTCACTTAAACACTCAGTAACCACTTGCGACTTAGTGGCTTTATTATCTTGCTTGGGGTGAAATGTTTAAAAAATAAAAGGGGAAAAAAAGATAGCATTATATTAGTGCTTGAACATCTAAGTTAGCAGTAAATTAAATATTTTAATGACTAAGAGTTTTAGTGCAGTACTAGATTGGTGGCAAAATCTCATTTTATATCACACTTCTCACTTATAGAACTCTTGTTCTTGCTTTGCAGTCAACTTTGATTTTTAAAAATTTAAATGCAATGTCAATAGTTATTTTCCATTTCCTTAATTATTCTTCTATTAGTGTTCTCGCTCCTTAATGGTCTCCCCCCCATGTTCTGTAACTCTGTAAACTTGTGTGTTGTATCTTGTGTTTTCAAGATAACAGAGGGGGAAAAAAAATAAAAGACAAACTCTTAGATAAGTAATGAAATAGGCTTACTACTGAAGATACACTTAGCAATTGACTTAATGCTAACTCTCCTCAACTCTGCTTATTTACATAACTGGACTATTCCATACATTTATGTCCTATATGACAGTGGCTTTATTGCCTTGTTTGGGGTGAAATGATTCCAAAAAAGAAAATAAAAATTTTATTTATGGGAAAAAAGCATATATAGTCACATTATGTAAGAGTTCAAATATCCAAGGTAGCAAAGAACGTGTTAAATTTAATTTTATTTGCCAAAATAAAGCAGTAGGAGTATAGCAATTCCTAATTGTATAGCAATTCCTAATGGTAATGTCACAAAAAAACACAGATGACATTAGTTCAAATACCCAAGGTAAGAGTAAATGTGTTAAAAGAATTCTAAAAGTTTTATGGCTGACTTTCCATCATCACAAAATAAAAAAAAACTAAATGATTTTTTTTTTTTTCTGTCCATTAGGTTGCAAGAAGACAGTCACATTAGTATGCGTATATTTCTCAAATAAATTTGTATTTACCTACCATAATTTCTGGTGTTATTCCAACTTGCAATCAACTGAAGAATGTCTGCCACTCAGAACATTTACACTGTAGTCATGTGATGAAAAGACCTAGCAATCACTAAAGACACACCCACAGTTGCCAACCAATCAAAATATCTGTAGTTAAAAAAACATGTAAACCTCCAGAGAGTTGAGCAACAGATTTGGCTTTTGATTGTTGAAAATTACTGACCAAATAAATTGCATCTGGATTACAAATTAAATGTACTGTACCCTAATTGACGAATTATTGTTACATTTTACAACAATGGCCGAAATTAGGAGGGTGTGTAAATCAGTAAAAGCAACTTGGAACATCTCTCCCAGTGCAGCAAAAATAACAATACAGGAGTAGAACATTTCAGTTTTCCTATTTGAATTTTCAGGTGAATCATAATTCTTAAGCCAATGATTGAATAAGTTCCTTGCAAGTTTCACAACTATAAACTACCTGTGGAAATTCTCCTATTGGATTGGTAAATATTTGAGCTTAATAAAATATTGCAATAACAATCATAAGTATGAATGCAGGTTATTTACAGAAGTAAGAGGGTACAAATGAAGAGATTCAAAATCGACAAGGTTTTCCATTTCACCAAAGTATTAAACACATGAGTGTTATTGTTTCTATTTTTCCCCCCAAAAGCCGAACCGCATCACATATATCTTTTCCTTCTGCCTTTCTTGTATTCAGAATGGAATGGTCCATTATTTTTCTGAGGCAATGGCAGGGCATAACATGTGTAAAATATTCGAGAAACAAGTTATAAGATTTAAAGCCTCTTCAATAGATTTCCTAGAAACAATATTTCAAAATACTTCATTATTTAAATATATTTTTTAAATATTTATATAAATAGATTCGGAGTCTAGTAATGGGAAATGCATTTTTATTTTTCAACATAACATCCTTTCTTGTTAATATATTTAAATAAAAATTCTCCAAAATTCAATTAATAAACAGTAGGTTATTGACTTATTGATTCACCCTTGTACTAAGCTAATTTTCCTACAGCATAAGCCCAAATGTGGAGAGAAAGAAATTTATCCTTTATAGAGGTTTTATATGCCTTGAAAATCAGCATTGCAAAATACAACATTATACTTAGACTTGATCATCTTCACTTTATCAAGACTGAAACCTAAATGAGAAATAGTTTTGACAAAACAAAGTACTAGTAATTTATGATAACTGGTGGCAGAAAAAAAAGACTCCTAAATATCTTACATGTTAATTCTATTTATATTACTGATCCTCTGATGATCCCAAAATAAAATAGAAAGACAAGGCACAAGTCCAACTTGTGTCTTAGCTTTCACCAGGATTATAGCTTGAGAATTCTTAAAACCATTTATATTAAGTCTAAGCAGCCTTCCCTCTGTAAGCAGAAAAATGCTGCTGAGTCTAAATGTAATCTGTCTGATTTATACTGCTGATTCTTTGCTAGTATTTTCTTTTTAGCCCTTTTTAGTTATTGTACACATTTTTGTCTGATTAGATCTGAAGAGTAAGCAGCAATAACTGATTAGCCCTTTTTGTTGTTTTTTGATTCACAACATTGTGGTGAGTGATTTCCTTTTATACTTACTCTTTGCCATTTGTTTGTTTGTTTTATATATATATATATATATACTTAAAATGTCCATCCTCAGTCAAATATTTTTTTTGACTAAATATTCCTTACCCAATTATAGGCATAGGCTTTGAGCCTGTTTTAAAACCATTGATATTCAGCATTTAGTGCAGTTCTTAAATTCAGAAAATTCAATCCATCAGTAGTGGTAAGTGTCAGTTTCAATTTACAAAATTCCCACCCTTGTTACTAACAAAAATATATATATATATATATATATATATATATATATATATATATATATATCAATGGAATGTTCAAGTATTCACTACTTAACAACATAACTACAATACTATCAAATTTTAGTGAAAACTTGCGTTTCACCCCAAGCAAGGTGGGAAGCCACTAGGATGCAAGGGGGAGTTACAGAAAACTTGGAGCAAGATCAGATAGGAGTGATAGAAGAAAGGTAGTGGATAGATAGATAGAGAGAACCGCTTCCTAAAAAAGAAAATTCTTAAGTACTTAACTGTCGAGTTCAATTCAGTAACCTGTAAAACAAGTAATATATTTTTTTTATTAATGTAACTAAATGGCTTGCTAACTTTATTAGTCACTATTCTTGCTTAGTATCAACTTAGTAAACTCAACTTCCTCTCCTTAGCCTGCTACTACATTTCCAATGAGTACCTCAACACAGTATCAAGCAGCCAGAACCACAAGTTGGTACAAAATTAATCACAGTTTAAATCAGACTATTCTTTAATAGGCACATGATCCTGAAGGTAGAAAACAAATTGAATGAAACAATTGACTAAATGGAATAAGCCTAACTGACTAAAATAGTGCTACAATCTCACCATATTTTGACAAGTATACCTCGAGCCTCATTGAACAATTTGATCCCCATAATTGAACTCTTTTTACTACTTCACTGTTCATTGTAATTATGTTGCATATAATTGCTTATTTAAGACGGATTTAGAACAATAATAGGTGAGGTTATCTTAATTATAACAATTAATAATTTAAAAAAGTTATTTTTTTTTTTTTTTTAATTCAATCTTTGCCACAATTATAAGCACTGTGTATCAATTCTATTTTGTCAACTCTTTTATTTGTCAAGTTGTTAATTTCCTTCAGGACCATGTGTTTGGCAAATATATCATACGTTATTTTAAAGTGGAAATTTTGCTGTGTGGATTCAGGCTCTAATGACAGTTTCCACTGGTTATTGTTGCTTATTTTAGTCAAGATAAAGATTTTAAAAAGCTGTGTCAGATGCATTTGGCCTGAGGACAGTTAACGAATATACATTTCAACACTGCTTCTAAAAATTTAATGAAGATGAGAGCCTTGAAAAAAGAACGGGGTCACAGATATTATCCTGTGATTGTCAACAACCAGTCGCAAGCTGTTACTGAAATGGATCCACACAACAGACAATTATCAATGTTAATTTTTTTTTCTTTTTGTTAATTCATTCACATTCATTAGATTCTTTTGAACAAAAGTCGGAACAACCTATGACATCACATTTTAGGGCCAGGTGTTTTTTTTTGTTTTTTTTTTAATCATTTCATCCCAAGCAAGATGATAAAGCCACTAAGATGTAAGGGATTACTGAGAGTAAAAGAAACTGGAAAAAATTATTGAGGAGAAAGGACAATAAAAGATAGGATTCAAAGAGAGAAGATGACAATTGACACTGCATTTAAATTTTTGAAAATCATAGTGGACAGGAAAGGAAGAATCAAGAAGAGAGTGTCACAGTAGGGAAGTTAAGAAGAAACTCCTAGGACTTTAGGAAAATTCGTAAACTTGCTAGACCACAAAAATTTCCTGAGCCAACCAAGCATAGAAATGAATACAATATTTTTTCTTTCTTGTAAGGAATTGCCAGAAAAAGCAATAATGAAAATTGCAATATAAGCTCTGGTAAAAAAACATGTAATGATAACAGCAGAAATTGCAATATGAGCACTTGTAAAAAAAATGATGCTGAAGACATTAATTTATAATACCTCAAGGACACATGGCAGAGTAGATAAAGGTGTTACTTAGATCCAGTAACAGGATCCAGTATATAATTAGGTTGCAATAAAATTTTAATTTTATATGAATACTACCTTATGAAAATTGAGATGTAGTAGAGTTGGGGTGGGGTTGCCAGTATCATAGATTCAGGGTGGTACCATGAGACCCTTTGCACCAGCCCTGAGTGAAAGACTTGAAGATTCTATTTTACTTACGTCTGATTTTCGACTTTGTCTTTGGAGGTTTGGCCAGATTTTCAACATAATGCTGTCGTTAGAATGTTTTATGATGTCCATAAGTTGTTCTGGTAATTGTACAGGAATACTGTTAACTTCCTTAATGATGTCTCCTTCTTGAAGCAAACCTGATAGCAAAAGAAAAATTTAGCAGCATTTTATTAATGATACAAGTGTTTGGTCAACAAAATTCAGAAGTATAGACATCTTTGCCACCAAGATTGATTTGTTTGTTTAACAGCATATCAACACCTGTATGGGTCATTTAATGCCAAAATTTAATTTTCTTGGGAGCTTTGAAGTAATAAAAATGTTATTCTGCTTTCACAATTGAATACATGGTAGATGATACTCAGCTTTCATGCATATACATGTTTGTGTGGACATAATTATTAGAGACAGTGATGTGTATATTATATTGTAGCTTTATTGAAGTTATATTTTGGAATACAGTTTGATTTCAGAAATTGTAGGATATTATATGGATTAATGTTCTGAAAGAGTTCTTTTATGTTGGGTGTTTGGTTGATTTTGTTCATGGGCAATTTAACCTTTATGGGTTATTTAATACTGAAATCTAAATATTTTGAACAATTTTATGACTTCAACTAGATATGTTTTGAACGCAGTTGTATGCCTTCAACTACAGAAAGTGTATTTTACTATAAATATGTATTGTTGGTATTTTTTTATATAAAAAGGAATTGCTGGTCATTTTACTATAAAAATTTATTTTTATACTTCCATAGTTTTTGTTTTTGTTTAAGAGTTCCCTATTTGCCCATAGCTGGGACCCTAACAGGGGCTACCACCCTGGGTACCATTATGCTACAGAGGAAGCATCTGGTTAGCAAAAAATGTAGCTAAATGGCATAGCATGACTGTTTATTATGAATGAAGCATTTACTTAAATATCTGTATCTATAAAAATGTTATTCTGCTTTCACAATTTAGTACATGGTAGATGATACTCAGCTTTTGGTCATATGCTTGTGTGGACATAATTACTAGAGGCAGTGATAGATGTGTTTTATCTTGTAGTTTTATTGAAGTTATATTTTGGAATACAATTTGATTTAAGAAATTGTCAGATATTATAAGGATTAGTGTCAGGAAAGAGTTCATGTTGGCTGTTTGGTAGTATTTTAAAATTGATTTGGGTGAAGTTGCTACAATTTGTTAGTATGTCCATATTGTTGGTAGTTTTACTACATATATGTAGTGTTAGTCATTTTTTTTATTTTATTTTATTTTTTAATTAAAAATGTATTGCTGGTATTTTTACTATAAAAATATATTTTTATACTTTCATAAAAATGTTTCTTTTTCATTGCTATTTGCCTGTAGCTGGGATCCTAACAGGTGCTACTACCCTAGGTAAGGGTGGACTTGGGAATGACATCAAGGTGATTTCACATTCCACAAAAACTCCAATCTCCTGATTAGAGGCCTTACTGCTAGATATAGTTTGTCATAATCAGGACAATGCCACCAAGATAATTTTAAAAGAAATTTATAAATATAAAAGATAAAATGCAATGTCTGTCAATGTTTTTTAAATGAGTAGTTATTATTATATGGGGTCACCATTATCTCCAGTAATGGCAAATGTAGAATACTTCAAGGGAATGGCTATATAAATGTGACCACTAAAGCTATGTAGCTTAGATATGTAGATGACATTGGCTTCATCAGGAAAAGGTGCCACCATTAGACAGTCATACATCGGGTCATTTTGTCCTTCCTCATTTATAGAATTGGACTGAGTGATATATGTTTGACATTGCTATTTTCATGGAAAATAGTGAAACGACCTACATTCCTTAGTTCCACAAATGCTAAATTTCATAGCTAAGACTCACCTCATACACTGAGGTGAGCCATCCTCATTCCTTTTGTATTCAATTAGTGAGAAGTAAATTCTACTACAGGTTCTTCCCAAGAACCACTACTTTGTCGAACAATTTCCCAAGAGGATGCTTTCATGACTCCTACAATCTTAACCAATTCAAGTCTAGGGTTAACCGTTATTTCTCTCATAAACTGCGTCTTATAGGAATTAAATCCTATATTTTTCAACCCATAAAATCCCATCAGAAGGTTTGTTGGATAAATTATTACTACTAGGGCAAATACTTCCAAAATACTTGTGGATGTAGTTGTAAACCTACCAGGTGTTATTTTTGTGCCATTTAGAAAATAACAATAACTCGTGTCACCATTTCAATTTGAGAAAAAGATTTTCACAAGCCAGCAGTGTGAAATTATATTCTAACCAATGAAAACCTTGTATTCAAAACGTTCATACCTTAAATTAGAATTTGGATTCCCTACTTAGGGATATAAAAATAGACACCTACTACTTGGGGCTCAAAATCATTTCAGAGGCCAATTTGTTCAGCATGTACGTACACACACACACACACAGGAAGGGATGACAGCCAGTAGCTGCTGATTAAGGCCTTGTCTCCACACACACACACACACACACACACACACACACACACACACACACACACAATAGAAGGTTTTAACTAGCATCCACAAACTAAGCCTTTGTCTATGAACTCGCAAACATATTAAGCTGATTGTTATAAAAGTCTATCCACACATCTATTGGTGACGGTGTTGTTATTGAATCCCAACACTTAGATAGCAACAAGAAGCTGGGTAGATGGATCCCAACTGCCTCTTGCCCTTACTGCTCCCACAACAAACTCCTTCAGTAACCCTCTACCTTCAGTGGCTCTTGGGTCTTGTATAGGGTTAATATCAGTAAAAAAAAAAAAAATGTATAGAAGTAGTGTAGCTGTGGCAGCTATGGGATGACAATGTGATTTAAAACCATCTGACTGTTAAATAATTATTGGGGTCAAAAAGACAGGGCACTATTGTTGAGTTGGTAATTGTTCAAGGTTTTTCTCAGGTAGCAGTAAGTAAGTTTATTTCAGAAATAAGTGAATTCTGGACAGACATAACTGTTAGATGAAACGGGCAGGAGACCAACAGGTGATGTAAGACCAAGACCGTTAGTGGCTAACAATAACTGACACGGAAGAATAATAATATACCGAATCATATCCTAATTCAATGTTAGTGATGCCCAATCCATCAGTCTGTATGATTTTCATGGAAACCAACAAAAACATTTGCCAAAGTAGGCCCTAGAACTGAACCCATAGAAACCCAGTCGATCTGTCTATATCTTGTGTTATTGAAACTGAATTCATCAGACGTCACAGCAAATTTTAGTCACTCAACAAAAATGTTTTCAGGAATCTTTGCAGATATCTATTGTTTTTGAAATAGGGAGACTGGTAAATAGGTTGTTAATATTGACTGAACACATGAATTTATTAGTTGAGTTACAGTTTTGAATATCTTTTGCAAAAGAAAAAAAGGGTCTTTTATGCATTGACAACTGTAATATTCTAATACTGGTTGTAATAGTGTGTCAATCCATTTGGCAACCTTCTATTGAGCTGACCCCAAAATAGATGGAATTGGTCTTAGTGGAGTACCTGCCTTATGGGTTTTAGGCAAACCATATAAATGGTAAAGAATTGAGCCCGAAGGTTTGATTTCGCTAGCTATGTCAGAAGGTAAGACACCACTTTTTATCCATTTGACTAATTTTCTCTTAAATCTATTTTCTACTGTCACTGTTGAATCAAAAATTATCCACAGGACCTGATTTGATAAATCATTCAAGATGATCATTTTATCAACGTAATCACATTGAGTACAACTTCTGAACCTTTGTCAGGTATTGCGATTACTAATGATTTATTCTGATGCAGTGATTTAATTACCGAGTAGTGTTCTCTGCACCATTTGAATTCAGTGTGTGAAATAAGTGTTCTGGCATAAGGGGCAAGATCATTAAGTCTAGCTTTGAGGTCCCTAACTTTATAGTCAGAAACAGGTTTAAGTCTTCGTATTTGGGCATTAAGAATTTCAAATACTGAAAATTTCTTCACACCTGACAACAATTGTTGGAATAGGGAAGTCCAATCCATGACCCAGTATTGTACTTTCAATTGAAGACAGCTGGAAGGAAGACAAATTAAGAATGTTCCCAACAACATCAGAATTGGCAGAGCAACCAAATTTCTTGTATATGTCTGTTAGGGCATGACATTATTTCCATCTGATTCTGCCTTTGTTTCATTATGTGCTTCTTATATTTTATATTGTAATATTTAGTCTTCACTCAATTTCAGCTCTTTTGGGTGAGGGAAAAACTGGTCAGCTGGTTAAATTTTTTTTTAAATCATGAATTATATATATATAAAACGTGAAAATATATAGAAAATAGGAAAGAACTGGTTAGGTAAATAATCCAAAGTTCCTTAGTATTTTAGTTATTTTTAAAAAATAGTGCTCGATACAAAAGTAGAGCATGCATATATATATATATATATATATATGAGAGAGAGAGAGATACAGATAAATGTTTTGATACAAAACTCATCCATCTAGGTACTGACCAGACTCAATGTTGCTTAACTTCAGTGATCATATGGGAAACCAATATTTCAACATGTGGCCATAAGCCTCATGTGAAAGAAAAGCCAAGTAGTTGTATTTAGTGTGTGAGAACTAAAATAGGTCAGCACAAGATATATATAGTTTTTTTAGGCACAAGTTTGAAGCACCCAGGCAGGATTGATGTCACTACTCATGCAGACTATTATATATTCAAAATAGTTCAGAACTTAATGCAATAAATTTCATTAGTTTTAACAATAAAAAAAAAAAAAACAAAAAACCCCACAAAAAAAACCACAAACATACACAAAAAAACAATGAAACAACAATGATTATTAATGCTGATAAATGTGAACAATTACCCTGTTTGGCAATCATACTTCCAGTGATGATTCTGGCCACAATTAGTTCGTTGTTGTCGTCTAACTTCACTGTTATGCCCTAAAAAATGAAAATAAATATACAAAAACAAAGCCCAAAAAACAAAAACAAAAGAACCTTGTAGTAATTCAACTCACAAAAAAAATTAACTTTAAAAGAAGCAGAGCTATGTGTTACATCTGTTCAGGATGTGGGCAAACAGGTGGACCGGGGAACACCAGCAATTAAGAGGTGGTTGCATGCTCCTCAAAACCTCCTGATCAGAGACCTTGCTGTTGGACGTAGTTTGTCTTAGCCAGGACGCGGATGTAGTGTATCATCATACCCAGAACAGAACAATTGACATTGATTGACTAAAAACTGCAATTTTGGGGAAATGCAAGACAGGCTAATTTGAGATTAAATATTTGTAGGGATTAAAGATAATACAGGCAGGAAAAAAAAAGGGTTTTTAAAGGATAAAAGGCTTACCCAAGACAAATGTATAGACATAAGTAGAAACTATGAAATAAAATAACACCAAAAAAATATAAAAAGAAGTCTCAAGATACTGTGCACCATAAAAGCAGTACAAATAAATGCATATGTGGTGATAATATTCCATCTCACATGCAAATCAATTGTCCAACCAAAAATGCAATTTGCCAAAAGTTTTCAAGTAAAGGACAGTGTGCAAAAATGTGTAGGACGGACAGGTTTAAAATTCAAAAAATGAGGAAGGAAGAACCTCACTATGTCCTTGGGTCTATTACTACTAACAATAGAATTAACATGGTCATGGAAGAAGCCTGGCAAGCTGAAGTTACTACAAAGCCATGTAGTAAGTAATTTATTTCAAATTGGTTTGGTTTCTGGCATATCAACATCAATGCTGACAACTTTTTTTTTTTTTTTCTTCTGGTAATATTTTTGTTTTGTCAAAAATCTATTTCTGTTAATATTTTTTTCCTCAAAAATGTATAGCTGGTAATATTATATTTTCAAAAATGTATAGTTGGTAATAATAATTTTTACAAAGTATTTTTGGTATTAAAACCTATTTTTACACTTTTATAATGCTTTTTACCTCAGTTTTGGGGGTTAACTATTTGCCCATAGCTGGGACCCTAACAGGTACTACCACGCCGGGTCAGGGTGGACCTGGGAACACTAGCAATTAATAGGAGGTTCCATGCTCCTCAAAGCCTCCTGATCAGAGGCCTTGCTGTTGGACGTAGTTTATCATCATACCCAGGACGCCCCATTGGAGGTGGGGGTCTTACCCACCTGCAGAAGTGCAGTCGACGTATTCTACAGTCCCAGCCGACAGGACTGATTTCAAATTGGATACTGGAGCAGATGTAATAGTAGTCTTCAGTAGTTATTTTAGAAAAAACTCCCAATTATTCAAAAATGTAACAAACAATGGTATAGACCAAGTTACCACCAAATAAAAGTCATCAGTCATGTAGAGGCTTTATTAGAAACTTCATAATCAAAGTCTAAACAGGATTTGTTTGTTATTGAAAATTTGAGGGAACCATTACTGGGAGCACCAGCAATGAAAGCTCTTAACTTACTGAGGAGGTTGAATTCTATAAAAAGTGAAGACCACAAATATAGAAAAGAATTTCCATGGACATTGGTAGACTCCAGAAGATATACATAAAATATGTTTAAAAGAGTGTGACGAATATCTACAGCAACAACTCAATGCTTGCCTCTTCCTATCAAGAAAGTCCAGGAAGAGTTACGGCATTTAGAAGAAGAAAATATACATCTGGTAAAAACATCAACAGAGTGGTGCATCCCAATAGTTGCTGTGTGAAAGAAAAATGGAAAGGTTTGAGTGTGTGTCGACTTTACCAAATTAATGATAGTGTGAAAAGAGAAAATTTTCCTCCACTATTTGTCGAGTTGGAAGGAGCTACAATTTTCAGTAAATTAGACTGCAACAGTGGTTTTCATCAAATAAAGCTCCACAAAGATTCACAAGAACCAACTACATATTTAACAGTTTGGAAGATTTTCTTTCATGCACTTACTGTATTAACAGTGACCCAAAGATATTCCACCATGAAATGACTCACATTGTGGTAGGTATACCCAGAGTTATATGTAATATTGACGACGTCCTTGTGAGTGGAAAGAACCAACAGGAACACAATAACAGACTAAGACTAGTTCTTAAAAATATTGAAGGTAGCAGGATTTATGTTAAAAGAAAAATGTATTTTTTCTGTCAGAAGTTTGTACACATCATTAGGAAAGATGGCATTCAAATTGACCCAGAGATAGTCAGAGCAATAATAGACTTACCTCAACCAAGAATGTATCCAAATTATGATGATTACCAGGCATAATAAACTACGTAGGAAAATTTGCTAAGAATTTAGTAAATGTTACTAAACCTCTCTGAGATTAATTGGGAAAAGAAAACACTTAGTAAGAGCCACACAAGAATTTGCATTCCAAACTCTGAAAAAGATGTTGAGCTCTGCATGAATTCTAACCCATTATAATGCTGATAATTCAATGAAGATCTCAGATTCATCTTCATACGGCTTAGGTGGGGTTCTTCTGAAGGGAATGAATGGAGTCCAGTGTTTTTATGCATCAAAATCTCTTACGATGACTGAGCAAAGATACGCTCAGCTTGAAAAAGAGGCTTTGGCGGTTATCTGGTACTGCAAGAAGTTTGCTGATTTCCTAGTTGGGTTACTGAAGTTAATGGATGTCAGTTATCAGTTATCTTCTGTTAATTCCCCTCTCAAAGTTCTCCACCACCTTAACCAGTTATTGAACTCACACTCTTTGGGTCCTGTCACTGGATCTAACTAATGCTTTTATCCACTGTGCCATGTGTTCTCACAGTGGATAAAGGCGTTGGTTAGATTCAGTGACAAGACTCAAAGAGCGTGAGTTCAATACCCGGTTAAGGCAGTGGAGAACTTAGAGAGGGGAATTAACAGGAGATAACTAATAAATGACATCCATTAGACATGGCATATGGAACTAGAACAGTCTACCCCAGTGAGCGAAATTAAAGGGTTCAGTTCAACATTCCAACCATCCGGAGTGTACAATGGCCGAAACGTAATAAATATGGCGACAAAGATGAGAACAATAGTCCGAATAATGTAAATAATGTGCCATAGAGGGAAGTTCATTAGAACAATTACCATGAAAGTATTTATAGAAAAGACACAGGGAAGCTACATTACAGTGGTGTGAAAATGAAGCCTGTATATCGGTTCAGTTTTCATTAAAACCTGATCCTTACATTAGACCCAGGTAATTTTTTTTCTTTTAGTAAAATGTTCACCCAAGAGACACTCAAGGGTTAGTAAATAAGGTTATATGGATGTAGACAAGGGAAATAAATGCAGATTTGTTTGTTTTTAATGTTTAATTCATATTTTCAACTCTATACATTTCACATAATAATCCATAGAGTCTAGAAGAAGAATCCTCAACAGAATGCAGAAAGCACTGGACAGCCATTTTGTCCTTTTTGGGACTCATCCACTACCAAGAATTGAACCTAGACCGTTACAATACAATGCAAGCATCATACCATTGGGCCTTGGTGATGAAGGAGAAACTAATTAGACTCAATAGAGTGCAGCTACTACTAATTCTTGTGGTGAAGAAGACAAAGCTGTTGTGGCCGGTTCCACTGGAATTAGTGTGTGTGTGTGTGTGTGTATATATATATATATATATATATATAAAATAGTGGTAAATATACAAAATATATAAATATATACATAGGTGCATACACATACATGTATATTTTACGATTCCAATGGAATAAATTATGACCATGGAATATTAGTTTAAGTTTTTAAATATATATTATATATATATATATATATATATATATATATATATATATATAAAAAGAAATATAGTTTTAAGGTGTGCTATATTTATGGGATAAAGTGCACAATATCACAGAAAGTGTATGTAGATATAAATATAAAAGTGAATGTTGATGTCAAGACTCAGAGGCAACAGGCTGGATGCAATCGTCAGGCTGCGAATCTGACAATTGTGTCCAGCATGAAACAGGTTGTCACCTCAGAGTGTTGACTTCAATGTTCCCTTATATATGTTATGAAATGGACAAAGTCCGACAATTATTTTAAGATATGTTTATGTTTATAAATTCTTTTTATAAATACAAATATTTAAGTAAATGCTCTATTTATAATAAACAGTATTAAACAACATTTACTGGCCTGAATGTCTGAGAAATTTTTACAGAAAATATTCGTCCTCCGACAGGATTCAAATCTGTATCCTATAGGATGTTGTTTAACTTACCATATTTAGAATACAATTTCATATCCCTTCAGGACAGGCATTTATGGTTCTCTATAGATTCTACATATTTTTGAATTGCCTTTTTTTGGAGGGTATAAGGTAAGGGAGGGATTTCCACCCATCTACCATGGTTTTGAATTCAGAAAAATCTTTTTAGATTGGTTTGATCTACCAAGGCTTAAAGAGGCCAGTCTGCTCTACTGTTTCACATTGTTGGTTGGTTGGTGAACAAATGGATATATGCCTATTGCAATTCCAGAGGCTAGAATTTGAACTGCATGCTGAACCCATTTCCTGATCTGATAATGTTTGCATCACAGTATTCTTTTGCATATGTTTGAAACAAAAAGAAAATGAAGAGGAAGTGGTGTGAAGACAATTGTGGGTTGGAAACGAAATGGAATGAAAGAAACAGCAGTTGAAGGTATATCATATTGTATGAAATAAGAAAATACATTTTTATAGTTACCAAAGGTTCATTTTTGTTCTTTCTAATGCCAACCAATCGAACTGAATCTTGTATTGAGGAGAAAACGGGCGGAGGAGGAGAATCCAACTGTTGTGTTTCATATTCCTCTTCAAAATTCTTTTCAGCAATTTCATCATGAGCCCACAACAGAGACTGAAAAGGAAACAAAAAAAAAATAAAACGTTTAAATAACACAAGTTTTTGATGTTTGAAGGAAGTGGTAGACATTAATGGACAAAAGGCAAGCCAAACTAGACATTTTTTGCTTAGCCAAAAATTGTAGAGAATTCCAGTGTTGGTGGAATCATTTGTAATTTACATTAGTTACCGAGAATGGATTTGCTTCTTTAGCACAAAAAGGCTGATCAGAAGAGTATATTTACCATGATTTTTAGAAAATGAGACTCAGCTATAGTTTTATAGATTGTATGGGAAGTTCTTCTGGAATGTATTGCGATAGCATAGATACTTTGAGAACTAGTTGCATGCATACTTCTAAAAAAAAAAAAAAAAAAAAAAAAAAAAAAACTCAATACAAAACAAAATAAGTCAAAATTTGAAGGAGGAATTTACTCTATTACCTGTAATAATTGCCTTAAGGAATACATTGGAGAAACCTCAAGGAATTTAAATAAAGAGATTATATGAACACAAATGGGATCTTTTACAAACAATACATAAAGTGTCTTGGCAAAAAATCAGATGGGTCCTGAAGGTGAACATGGGTTGACTCGGTTGGTTGTGAGGTGTCATTGAGATTGAGATTGTATAACAGAGAAACCTCATGCAGATTTTGGGAGATAAAACGTAGCACTGCCCAGGTAACCAGGAACCAGATTTGGTAGCAAAAAAAATTTACAATGCATTAAAAATAAGTCAATTTTATTCAGTTCTAGAGAGGAGGTATGGTAGCAAGAAGAGGTCTGTGGTTCTCAAAAAGCGTTTTCTGTTCAGAGTATTTGATCAAGTGTTTATACAATTCTTGAAACCCTGTTTTTGTGTCCATCTGTGAGAGATGACTACTACTTCTCTAGTTTTTCTCAAACTGGAAACCCATAATTTTTACAGATTACTTTTCTGCCTACATAAACTGGTCCTTAAGAGAGAAATATACGCTGATTCAATCCACTTCAGCATCAAATATGATAAGTCAAATTTATGATTCTGAGAAATTTCTTTTCATTCGCCTTTTAGCATGGTCAACCATTGCACAGGCAACACCTACACCTTGCTTTCCAATTTATTGCTAAACTGATATTTTATAATTCCTTTGACAATTTAGAATCACCAGCATTTATGTCATTATAATCTGCACTTTCACTTCCTACTGTTCTGTCTATAAAACAACCTCATTCAATAACCCTCTACCTTGAGTGGCTCTTGGGCATTCGGTGAACAAAAAAAAAACAAACAACAACAACTCCATCCCATCTTTTTCTATTCACTAAACACTTTACCTTCTTTTGGAAGGCATTTTGGCATCAGATATTGGTTAATGAGTCTAGTTGGTTGATCATTATCAATAGGTCAATCCTCACTGGGTAACCCATACAAAAATTCAATATTAAATCACCCAAGAAGGGTAGATGTCAAAACCAACCTGCAGTTTTTTTGTGTGGTGGTGGTGATGGTCATTGTGTTCCATACACAATGTTTCTAAACCATCTTTTTTTTTCACTTCCTCTATAGAGATTTGCATTCAAACTCCATTATCTTCTGCTTTCTTTCCTTAGCTTACCATCCATTCTTTTCTTTATCTTGTCTTCTCAGCAGCCTTCTCCCTCTCTCCAACCCTTCTCTCTCTCTCTCCCCCCCAACCCTTCTCCCCAACCCTTCTCCCTCTCTCCAACCCTTCTCTCTCCCCTCTCCAACCCTTCTCCCCCAACCCATCTCTTCTCTTCCATTATCCTCTCCTACACGTTTTTCTCTAAGCTTTACCAGCTCCTTGAATAATTATCACCTTTAATTTTTTCCATGCCACTTGTTAAAAGAAAATCATTCTAATCAAAACATAAAACATTTTCTTCAAAAATCAATAAAATATCCTATCTTTTTTTTTTTCTTTTTTTTTGTTTGTTCCAGGAGTAGACATTTTACTCGTAGTGAAATATGCAAGAATTTTATTTTTCTTCCTCTTGTATCATTTCATCATCAGCATTTCTTTCATGACATCTCACTTATCTCCTGTAATTGAACCAATTAAGTCAGAAAAAGTTTCGTTTGTCGAAGAAAAAAAAAAAAAAAAATTTTGCTTAATCACAAATTAATGATGAAAAAGAAAAAAAAAAATAATTCAAATGAGGAAAATTGAAAAATCATTTTTGAAAAGAAAATTTGCACAATTTCAGAATTGGGTGTGAGAGATTGAAAAAAAAAAAAAAAAAAAAAAATAATCTCAAAGAAAAATTGATAATGCCACTAAGCTGCAAGGAGCTACTGGGAATGAATGAGAATGAAAATGAAAATTAACTTTAGGGACTGGAAACCCAATCGTAAATGCAAAGTGAAGGATAAAACTATCCTGTTCAAAAAACTGGGGAAGAGTGTGGACCAGGCAATAAGCAATTCTATCTCAAATTTGATACTTTGTTGAGCTTCAACATGCTGTAAGAATTGTATAATTATTTGCAATATAAGATCATGGGGGCACGAGATGTGCGTAATGAATAACATCTCAGATTGAGGAATTGAAGAGCCAAATTTGAATTCATTATATTCACTTACATGTGGTGGCAACCACTCAAGGAAAAGGACAAATCTTTAATTTTAAATAAGGTCAATGAAAACTAAATCTGAGTGTTATGCTAATACTGGAGACAATAAACTTAAAATTTTAAGTACCGTCTGGATGGTCGTAGGTCATAGTGTCGAAAGTGTAAATGGATAAAATGTTGAATGGATAAAATGTCAAATGGAAAAGAGTCAAACTCATTAAATGACAAATGGACAATGTCGGAAAGACAAAATTTGAAAACGGCAAAATGTTGAACAAAGTACAGACGAAGATATCGTCATGATTTTAAAAATGTTTCAAATAATCAATTAAGCTATTCTAAACTTTTTATTGCTTAAGTTTGACATTCTTTAATAAATAATAACTTCAAAAGTGATTAAGCCACCATGATAATCATTAGTGATTTGATTCGGGGGGTTACACTACTTTTTTTTTTTACCAAATTGAATTGAGAATTTTCTCTTGCTCTCTCATGTATATTGGGTCGTCTGGAAAGTTCATGCCAAGTTTTAGTCGTTCATGTTCCAATATGATAGAACACGACAAATTTATCGACATATTTTTACAGTTCTGATTAGAGCACACTTCAAACTATCTCTTGAGAAAGAAAGTTTAAAATTACTTAATTCTTGTCAATTTTGCATCCCTATGAAAATGAAAGATTATAAGGTGCATTTTAGACACTTGATGCATTTTTTTTTCTTTACTGTAAAAGCAAAAATGCTTTGCAAGCAACAAAAATATATATATATATATATATATATATATAAAAAAATGTACAGTGAAGGTACTATATCTGACAGAACTGTATGGAAGTGGTTCACTAAGTTTAGAGTTGGTGATTGTAGCTTTATTAATGAAGAACATTCAGGCAGACCCCCCCCACTACAGATGACAAGCAAATCAAGACATTGATTGAGAATAACCTGCATTACACAAAGCAGGAATTGGCAGAAACACTAAATTTATCAACATCCACCATCCATGAGCACTTAGTAAGGCTTGGGTACTCAAATCGTTATGACGATTGGGTACTATGTGATCTGAATGAAAAGAAACTTTTGGATCGCATTTCAGTCATGATTTGCTGTATAAACACAATGAAAACGTGCCCTTTTTAAATCAAATTGTGACAGGTAATTAGACATTGATTATTTACAATAATGTTCAGTGTGAAAGATTCTGGGGTAAGTGACATTAGCCAACTTTAGCCACCTCAAAAACAGGTCTTCATCCTAAGAAAGGAATCCTGTACTATAAACTTCTGCCAAGTAATCAGTCAATTGATTCTGAAATGTACTGCTCACAAATGGATGAATTAAAAGGCAGCAATTGAAGAAAAATGCCCACAATTGGCAAACAGGAAAGGTGTTTTACATTAGAATAGTGCCAAACCTCATGTTTGTTTGGCAACCTGGCAAAAATTGTTGTAGCTTGGCTGGGATGTGTTACCCCACCCCCGCCATATTCACCAGACATTGCTCCTTTGGATTTTTATTTATTCAGGTTCTTCCAAAAATAATCTCAAATGGTAAAAATTTTAATTCTTTGGATGGCAAAAAAAATATGTTCTTTGCCGAGAAAACACTGAAATTCTGAGAAGATGGAATCTAAGTTGAAGGAAAAATAAAGAAGGTTGTGCAAAGGTTTGTAAAAAATGAAAATACTTTTGATTCGCCATAATAGTAATAATAATGGAGTCATAAATCCTCTTTAGATGTGTACATGGATTAACCTTTGGAGTAAAGGTCTGTAAAAAATAAACAAATTTGATACACTCAATAAATATAGTTGTAGTCTTGCATCAAATTAAACCAAATATGTACCCATCCTGGGTATGACGATAAACTACATCCAGCAGCAAGGCCTCTGATCTTTTTTCTTTTTTTAATCAAATGTATTGCTGATAAAAATTTTTTTCTTCAAAAATCTATCTTTGGTAATATTTTTTCTTCAAAATTGTAATCAAGTGGTCATCAATCTAGGTACTGACTAGGCTTAACTTTGGTGATCACATCGGAACTGGTGTTTTGATGTGAAATAACCGTAAGCATTTATGTACTCTAATATATTATTATGCACTGTTATAGTCTTGTACCAAATTAATCCATGTATTGCAGTATTTATTCTTAGCTGGTGGGTAATTTATACATTAGATTTGAAACCCTTGCTGGCTTCTTAGTTTACAATCTGGCATTTTAAAATCATTTTTGAAATACAACAAAATTATTCTTGTGCTTCTTGTTTCCAATTCCACTCTCCTGAAGAATAGATTCAAAGTAGTATCTCTTGAAATTTGAGATTGTATTCGATAAACAATGGAACCATTCTGAAGGAATGAAACTATTTAAAGCCATGCACAATGGAAACTGCATAACTGTTCTATTATCTAAAAAAAACTGCCTCGGGAGTTTCAAAA